AAGCGGCATATGAAATTATTCTTGTAGTTGAGTTACGAGGGTGAAACGGTGGTGTCTTATGGTTCCTAATTGGATTTGTTGTTGCTTGTATTGCTGAACTGTTTTGTAATGTTTTGGTTTTATCTGTGAGCTTTTTCCATTTTTTTGCAAAGCAGTTGCTGACAGGCATTTGTAGCTGTAGTTTAGCTAAAAGCTGCATATGAAAACTTATACCGCAATAACTGATGAATGGCCTGGTGGCACATTTATAAACAGATCCCTCATCGGCAGAGTAAGGAGCAGAAACAGGCAGTGGCTTCATCACTAGATGAAGAGTGATGGTAAAAGTACACTGATGGAAACTAGTCAATGACCGGTCTTCTGCTGCAAATGGGGGAATGTGTTTTGAGGTCTGTACTGTGTTATTTTTGTTTGCATTATAATAAAGTTCTTTACCAAAGTATGGCTTTATATTATTATTTTGCAATGCGTATTGTATTAAGCAGTAGAGTCATAGAATAGAAAATTATATATAAGCAATGGATGAATCACACTGTTTTATATAAATTCAGTGCCAGTGTATCATAATACAGTATGCTAAATGGGAAAGAACAGCATTTTAGTAAAACTCAGTAAAAAAAAGAATAGGTGCTAGGAGAATTACTAGAATGAAAACATATTTTTGTTAGTTTACTAGTGTCTGCCCCTGAAGGGCATTGATATGAGTGGCACTTCTCTAAGTCTTTTAAATTAGTAGGGGTTTATAATAAATTAGTAAGACTTTCTGGTTATCCTGTGTGTTATTTTTTTCAATTATATTTTATAACTATTCACTTAAAAACATAGGTTTGTTAAGATTGGGATATCAAAGCTCTTGAGTTGACTTTGCTTGATTTTCTATGTTGGGTCCAACTCAGAGATTTGTGGATAGCTGACTCACTATGTTTTTATAGCAAGTCTGCTTTATTTTTAACTGTACTCATCTTGAAATGACTGTACAGCGTAATTCAGTTGTGAATATGTGACTTTGCACCTGACTCACTGTTAGCAATAAGCCAACTTGAAGATGTGTCTAAAAATTGCTATTTCGACAAACTTTAAAGTAGTCTACATCTTTCTGTATCCAACTGAGGAACCTGCTTCTTCTTTGGGAGCTGTGTGATCAAATCTATTTTTTATATTGTCTAATATCTAAAACCATTTAGAATTTTAGTAGTTTCACTTATTACATTTTAAAACTTTGCTTTTAACCATCTGATTCCCAAGTTCTATTGTTTTGAGTCATCTCTCATGACCATCTCTAACCATCTTTTAGCATGTTGATCAATATACATAAATAAATGTAGGTAGCTCCTGCACTCCAACAAAATATAAAAAACACTCAGAGGAGACCGTTCAGATTGGTCGGCCACATCACGTTACTGGGGCAACCATAGGCGCACTACCTGATTGGCTGCTCCTGCGTGTACAGGCGCCATCTAGGATCAACCTTCACCATAATCATCAGTCTCCACCTATGTTAGCACGCGTTGTCATGGGGACCGGAATGCACCTGGGCTGTCAAATTAGGAGAGAGCATCAGAAGGCAGACACATAGGAGGATAATAAAGAAAAAGTGTATATTATCATGTATAATTCTATTAGGATAAATACAGTATAATAATCTTAGGAAAATATACACCTGAGTGTATCGTGTGATGTGCAAAGTATGTTTAAAGAAAAACAAACATAAAATTGCATTAATTAGCCAATAAGTAAGTGCACTAAGAGCATAGCGTCAGGTTAATATGCATAACAGTGGTGATTAATAATTGAAAATGTATTTAAAGAAAAATTAATTTCGTAAGGAGACTCTCTCAGTAGCTGTTCAAAAAGATAATATTCCATAAATTTAAAGAGGTATTAATGGTTTGAGGAAGCAATATGTGCTGTTTTAGTGTGCCAGCCAATAAGGATGTGGATATATTGGTTGTTACTTTACACATTATTATTTTTTTATTCTTTATTTTGACTGTGCGTAGTGTTACATACATGCTTGTTCCGCCCCAAAGGCAGGTAACAAGCCAGAGAGTTTACAAAGCATACAATCACTTTTAGGACAGTGCTATAACTTGCACATTTTTTATGAGGGTTAAAACACAGGCGTTAACTACTGTAAGAGTGAATTGTGTTATCTTTGATTCTTAGCGTGGTAGTTAAATATGTTATGTCAAACTGCAGAGACTTCATAAAGGCAAACACTCTGTTAACTGTGAGCTATGCTAAATAAATTTTTGCCAAGTATTTCCAAACAATAAACCAACATATCTCAAAGATTTGTAGCAATATAAAAAAAAAAAAAAAATGAAATCTACATTAGAAAGCCAGTGTTCCTGGTAACAATTCTGAAGCTTTGGGGCCATTAATGCAAAAGTTCCATTAACTCTATCCATATGGAGAAAAGATTATAAGAGTGTAACTCTATTTGTTAGCCCCCGGGAGATTTTATAGTTTGGATGAAAATTCAAATGCTATGAAAGAGTCCTTTTTTTTTTTTTTTAAAACCAATAAGTCGTACTTATTAGTTTACATTCCATTCGATTTAAGTATTGCATAATATGCCTATTCTGGTACATATGCTGTCACTGAGCGTTAAGATAAGGCTTATACTAAACACGCTATTCTAAGGACTCACTGCTGCATATCATTCTATGGTTGTACAAAAATTTGTAGATCAATGTTTATCATCTATTAGTTTGAGAATTCGCACAAGTTTATATTTTTAAGCATGCGTTACTAAACAGGTAGATAGGTCGTTGAAATGAGAGAAATTAAAATACAGTGAAACACCCTGACGATTAGTTGTCAGTTCTATTCTGCTGTGCTATCACAGCCGTGGCATATAGGCACGGACTGCATAATAGTAGTAGCTGGTTGAGTTAATGCATGTTAGAGTTAGGTCGACCTGCTTGTTATGCTTGTAAAAATGGCTTGCTAGGCGTGTGAATAATTGCAAGTGTAGTTATACACCAACGTGTAACTTAGTTAATGCACCCCTAGGTGCGGTATGGGCAGTAGATCTCCCTGCAGTGTGTGGTGGATAAAGAGGGAAAGTAAAGTATAAAGGAAACCAAAACATAATACTCTGGATTGATTGGTCAGCGTGTCTGCTGTCTTGTCTAGTGCGTCAGGGTGGTAATCAGAGAGAGTACAGTTTTAAATGGATTGTGGTGGAGGTCCTTAAACACTGTTCAAACAGATAGTCCTGGTGGTTCTTAGCCAGAGTGAGAGTTCATACATTTGCTAGGCAAAAAGGGAAAAACGTCCCGGTGAGCAGTCCCGAGCTCAGAGTCCCGGTTCAAGTAGTGGCTGCATAGGGTTCCGCGGGTCGTTGCCGTGGCACAAATTCTGGTGCTCTGGCTGAGTTCTTCCCAAAGCTGCTGCTTCTGTGGCCCCTCTGCACCATTGCAGATTCCAGGGTTGTCAGAGGGAGGTTTAGCTTCTCTAAGGCCTCTGCGGCATCTTGTAGGTTTTGAGCTAGCACAGGGCCGCTTGCGCCCTCTATGCGCAGTATCCGGCCAGGTCCTCAGTGGTATCGGATCTGTTGTTGCCGTAGGAGGGAGGTGATCTGCCGGAGGGACCTTCTCCAGGACAGTGTACCACTCGATACATCTGCATAGAAAGAGAGGGACGTTTCTTCAAAGGTATATTCTGACAGGCCCTTGATGGCGTTGAGTACTGCTCTTTTGTCTCTTGCTGTTTGAAAGCGGAGGATTACATCCCCAGTGGCCGCCGGTGGTGCTGTAATCAGCTTTGGGATGCGAAAGATCCCATCCAGCGTGATCGTTTTTGCCACTTTTGGGGTCAAAAGCGCGGTTAGTAGTCGCCTGGCGTAGTGAGGGAGCTCTGCCTCTGGTATGGAGTCCGCGACCCCTCTTAGCTTTAGGTTATTTTGGCGTCTCCTGTCTTCTTGTGTGGCTAACTGCTGTTAATGGAGTGTCGCTTGCTGTTTCAGATCGCGGACTGCCGCTCGCAGTTCCGCGATTTGGCTTGTGTGGTCTCTGGAGGCGCTTTCTACAGTTCCCAGCCGGGCGGACAGACCTTTCAGGTCTTCCCTGATGTGTGTGTGGGTTGATTGGGTGGCCATGGTCTCTCAGGCGGTGGTGGTACGCTTGTTGGTAGGAGGCTCCCATCTCCTTCGTCGGATGTCTCATCCGAAAAGTCTGTACATCCTCTATGCAGGGACTCCATTGTTGCGCCCGCGGCCTCGTGGGCCTGCCTCCACATGTCCCCGATGTTCATACCCTGACGGGGCTTGTCAGGTTTTTGTTTTTTCATTTTTCTGCCCATGTTTGTCAGGTGTGTCTAAGGGCACTTTGGGGGTCCGTTGGGCCGTGTTGGGCTCCGATATTAACAGATTTGAGCAGTTTCAATCGAGAGCTCCTCAGCCATGCGACTATCCGTGTCAGTAGCTAGCCTCCGCCCCCTCTACACACTATTTTAAACTTGAAATTATACTAGGACTATTATACTATTATGCTAGGACTATATGCCAAGGTTCTCAACCTTCATAATATGGTGCACTAGTCCTAAATACTTATATCTCTCCGTAAGTCATGTTAGGCCGTACTTACAGCTACACAATATAAAAAAGTTTAAAAAAAAAATAACAATCAACAGTACTAATAGTATTATTTTTAACATAATTGTCTAAAGTCCTTGGTTTTACTAATGTAAAGCTGCTTATCACAATATGGGATATGTATCTATACTGTACTGTTAAAAATAGTACAAAATATTTGATTTACAAAAAGACTGAGAAGGAGCATTTTTCATTCAAGCCCTTAGGTGACAGGGTGTTCAGCTGTATAATCCAAAAGGTCTCACTTTGTAATAAGAGTCTACCTCTGTCACCTCCCCGGGCTGGAATAGGGACATGATCAAATGCCACACATCTTAAGGACGATAATTGATGTTGGCGCTCCAGAAAATGTCAGGCCACAGGTTTGTCCGACTTTCCATCACGATAAGCAAGCTGGATACTAGATCTGTGGCCCTTTAATTCTCTCACAGAGCGCCATCTCTGTTTTGCCTATGTAGTTGAGGCCACAAGGGCATGTCAACTTAAAGATGACAAATTCAGTCCGACAATGGATTCGATGTTGGATTTTGCCTGTGTAGGGATGACTAAAGGTTTTTGAAGGGATGATGTGTCCGCATGTTACACATCCCAAACACCTTACACATCCAGCATTCTTGCTTTCTTTTTTAATGGGACTGTAGCAGTGTTGTGGGTCGGTTTTAACCAAAAGGTCCCTCAAATTCCTATTGCGTCGGTAGCAAAACATTGGTCTCTGACAGAGCTCTTCGGGGAGAGTAGGGCCCAGCTCCAGTATATTCCAGTTGTGGCGAATTGATTTTGTCAGTTCCGAGCTCGCCGTATTGAATTGCATGGGGAAGATAGGTCTAGTCTTGGCAACTTTCATGATTTGAGTCGGCAGTGAAGAGAAGGCTATTTTTGCTTTTGTCATGGCATCATCAAGAATGGTATATTGGTATCCTCTAGATTGAAATTTTTGATACATGATTTTTAACTGTTGGTCACATTGTTGGCTTTGAGAGTTATTACGTAAGACCTTCAAGAATTGCGAATAAGGTAATGACTCCTTAAGATGTCTGGGGTGGAAACTCTCGAAGTGCAAAATGGTATTGCAGTCAGTTGGTTTGGTGAAGTGTTTGTACTCCAATTTGTGGTTGATGATCAGAATTTCCACATCCAAAAATTGGACGCTCTTATCATCTATGTTGGAAGTCATCTTTACCTGTGTAGGTAAGTCATTAAGATTTTGTACAAATTGTGATGCTTCGTCTTTGGAGCCACCCCATAAAATCAAAATATCATCAATAAATCTAAAATATCTGATGATCTGATGGTCATATTGTTGTAGAATATATTTAGTCTCATTCGTACATGAAGGTGTTTGCGTACATGGGAGCCATCGCAGCCCCCACTGATGTGCCAGCTATTTATAAAAACCAGTGTTTCAAAATGAAAATAATTGTTTTGTAGAGCGATACTCAGTAATTCCAAAACAAATTCAATAGGAGGACTGTGATAGCATTGTAAATGTGTAAGTAGATTGCGCATTGCCTGTATCACTTCGTCGTGTAGAATAATAGTGTACAAACTCCCTACATCCATTGTGATAAAGATGCCATTAAATCCCCCAACTTGATTAAGTTGTTGTAACAATTCAGGAGTATCCTTGATACATGTGGCTAATGATGTGACAGGATCTTTGAAAAGATAGTCGAGGTACTTGGCTATAGGTTCTAATAGACCCTGGACTGCAGAAACGATTGGACGTCCCGGTGGTTTTTCCAGGTTTTTGTGAATTTTCGGTAGTGTATAAATTATAGGAGTACGAGGATGTTTCTTTTGCAAATACTGGAATATCTCCATATGTATATGTCCTGGTTGAAGTCCAAAAAGAAGTGTCTCCTCAATTTTTTTTAGCAATCAAACTTGTAGGGTCACTCTCCAATCGTTTATAGGTATCGGGGTCATTCAATTGTCGTATGATTTCATTTGCATACTCCTGATAATTCAAGATCACAATCCCACCGCCGTTGTTCGCCGGCCGAATAACAATTGTCGGATCTTAAGCCAGGTTTTTTATCAGATCATGTTCTTCTCTAGAGAGGTTAGAGTGTTTTGGTTGGTGTTTACGCAGGATGGAGTCAGTGTCGTTCTTAACTGTTGAGAAATGATTTAATAGCCACTTGACTGGGATGGGATCGAAGGAGCTAGGGGTTTTAAATTTGTACGTTGATTTAGCCATAGAAGAGGCTACCTGGGAAGACCCTGATTTTTAAAAGAAATCCTTCAATCTGATGGAGCGGCCAAACTTAAAAAACTCAACATTCTATTGAAATTGATTTGGGGGAGTAGTAGGTATAAAAGTGAGGCCTTTACTCAAGATGTTGATTTCTTTAGGAGTCAATTCTCTATTAGACAAGTTAAATATTGGAATTAGTTGCGTATCGGTGGTTTCCCTCTGGGACCAATGGGTACGTCCCCTTTGTCCACGTCTTGTAGTTGTCCTTTTGCGTGTTTGAGCTTGCTTCTTGTTACTGTTTTGGGTTGTACCACCATTCTTTGTTCCGCATCCTTGTCTAAAAATTGAGCAGTTTGCCCAGTTTGAACACCCTCTCCCTCCGACACTGATTCCCCCGAAGTTATGTCAATAGTGGTGATGTTAGGTTTTCCTTTGTGTTCACCAGATAACCATCTATATACTAAAAAGCCTTGATAGTCTTGTTGTACCATTTCCATCTTCTGCCGTTTGAACTTAATCAGCTGATTCTTGTATCTGAGAATTTCCTCACTCAGTTTCAAAAGTGTGTTATTGGCCTCCTGTTAATTAAGCTGTAGTGCATATTCAGTTTCCACGTATTGTATTTTCTTTCTGATCTCTACCAAATCCTCCTTAACATCCTCAATCGTTATAAGCATAAGATCCAACGAGCATTTATTTAGTACTGCCGTCCAATCTCTACAGCCTCTTGGTTTCGTTCTGCCTATGGTGGGTATATTTCTCACTCGAAAACCCCTCAGAATTTGTTTTGCTCTGTGGTGGTAGGCAATTCCAAACTAGTAGTGCTCCAAAGTATCTCTTCAGCTTGTTCATCACTGAACTGGAGCGTGCTGGCTTGAGATGCACATGCCCCCGCTTGTTGTAAAAAACCTCCATATTTTTGGATTATTTAAAGCAGAGCGGTGTGACTCTTTATTCGGATACTCAGGACATTCATCCAATACGTATAAGTGATAAAAATTAACTTTTATAGATGTGCTTTAAAAAAAGTGTACTGTTGCTTTAAAATGTAAACATAAAGGCAAAATGTTGCCTGCAAAAATATATTGTTGCTGCAACAAAAATAAATAAATAATAATACTAAAAAAAATATATATGTATATATATATATATATATATATATTTTTTTTTATTATTTTTTGTTTTTTACTTGCCAAAATTAAACTTTTAATGCCTTAAACTGTGACTGAAATGGCCAGGATATGGTAATTGTTATCAAGTACAAAACCTCAATATGTCCAAAAACAATGAAAATGATCCAATGATTATCCATCACTGTTGTTTTCCATGGACATCCAGGCCTTTTTGTGTTGCAGAGCTCACCAGTGCGCTCTTTTTTCTCAGAATGTACCAAACTGTTGATTTGGCCACTCCTAATGTTCCTGCTATCTTTCTGATGGATTTTCTTTTACAGGATGGACTGAATCACATGCATTTAAAGTTAATTTGACCACACGTGGGTTCACAGCAACAGCTTACAAATGTGAATGCCATACCTGTCAATGAAACAATTTTTGTGTCAATTGCCCAATTACTTTTGGTCCCTTGAAAATATTAAACTTTAAGCCCATATTCATTTTTTATCTGTAACTTAAAGTTATTCTGGTAAGCAGCCAAAATAACAAAACTTAGACACATCCACACATACTGCCTAATATATACACTCATACACAGCCATACTGCCTAATGCATGCAGTTTTCACTGAATGTATAATTTATCGGTGTAATAAGTGATGTATTCAATGCGTATGGTGGGATTTAATTTATAATAATGGTGGGATTTAATTTACATTACAGTGAATTTGTCTGACAGGTTCACTTTAAGTAAAACATTTTTTAAAGATAATATATAATTATAATATTTTAAGGATCTATTACATGGTCACATACACTGCCACACACACTCTGACATATACACACACAATGTCACTTACACACTCTCACTAACAAATGCACCCTCTTATTGAATTATACACTCAGTGTCTCTCAAACAAACTCACACCAGTTTGCATATAGTCATAATTTATTTAGCATCACAAACACACTAAATTAACACACACACACACACACACGTCAATTTACAACCATGCACAAAGATCAGCCCCCTTTTCCTCTAGATATGCCATATCTCAGCAGATGAATGGCTACTCTGGTGGGGACACAGTGGCCCCTACAGGAGCAACCCACCAGGAAACCTTTCGAAGGGTGCCCCCGCCAGATTGTCCCCAGGAATTCTCCACAGTAAACAGGTAGAGGAAACAAGCAGAAAACCTCTTACAGTGCAGAATTGTAGTTTTTTAATTTATGGGTAAAATGTCTTGTGTCAATAAGTACTGATTTGACACATATTTGAGGCATTAGTATATGAACCAAAGAAAATCTGGGGGATTCAGCCTTTCACATTAATCCAAGACCCACTTAGAAAGCATACATAGAACCATACTGCATTTTTTTACAGGGATAATGTTATATTAGCACTGGGAAGTCTATTAGTAGAATGAATAAATACCTCCTAAACATAACATATGATATTAAACACTACATTGAATTTTGTTGTGTTATTACTCCCATAAATGGATTGCACCCAGAGATGTATGGCACTATAACCACTACAATGAACTCTAGTGGCTATGGTGCTTAGAGAGCCCTTTTAAAATCTACTATGTAATAAACTCATTTTGCCAGATGGCTTTAGACTACATGATTCTTAATTTCTAATAGAAAATAAAATTATAACAAATGTCTTTGAAGGCTATGAGTTTGTTTGTTTGTTTGTTTGGTATTAAACATGTGGCAGTCAAAATATGTTTTCTTTGTGCAATGCTGTATTAGTTCTGCTTTTATTGCAGTCAAAACCTGTGTTCTTTGTGTGATGCTGTAATGGTGCTATATTTATAAAGTTCAGAGTGATTACAGCATCAATCAAGGCTATTAATGTTGCATCAGGGGTTAGGGTTAGAGGTACATAGGTTTTATGGCTAAAGTGTGCTTAATGTAGGAGATATTTAGGATTAGGGAAGTATGGACATTACCTTAAGGGTATCACAACACTTGAGGATAAGAGAAAAATGTATATGTAGACATAGGTAGACCATGGTTCTGTTGCATTCTAACGATACAAGATTGCAGTGCACTGTGTTATTCTTGGTGATTTAAACAGTTACGTAATGACACTGCTCTCTTATAAGTGAAACGCCACTCGAGCACAGCTATTATGACCCTCAACATGCTTAGGTCACCACCTTAACAGTAAAATATTTAAAGTGAAAATACTGGTTTCCATGGGAACTACTCTGATCCTTTGGAATCCAGATTTGATCTTTATAAATATTCCCCCATGATAAACCAGGAAATTTACTAATTTGTTTAATGGTAATTATTCCCACTTTTTATGTTATTAAGTCTTTGTAGTTTAGTTCTAAACTGCTCTGTTAGTCTAAGATCAGATTGCAATTTTTTTCACTTGCTATTTACATTGACATGCTGTTTATTGGCTGATTGATTTGTTAATCCTTATTTAATTCTGTTTAGACTTTTCCTCCCCAAAATGTTCAACGGGGAGGCCAGTTCCTCAGCCAGGAATGTCATCCGCAGTTCAAGCATCAGCGGAGAGATGTACAACATGGAAAAAGCAAATCCAGGGACCCAAGATGCTTCTGGGACTGGAACCACCAAGAAGAGGAGGTCCAGTCTTGGAGCCAAAATGGTAGCCATTGTGGGGTTATCGCAGTGGAGCAAAAGTACCATGCAGCTAAACCAACCTGGTAAGTTATCTTTGTTTTATAGAATGTGATGGTTCCATAAAATTATGACAAGATTACAACACTCCTTTCAACACTGGGAGGGGAGAATCCATACTCATAGGCGAAGTTGGAGAAAGCATGGTATCATGGAAGCTGTGTTGACATAGCCAGCCTACAAGGCTCACATATGCACAT